ACTCGGAGTCATTAGTTTCGCAAGTCAAAGACTTGTTTATGATTTGGGGCGATTATTTACGTTGACACAAGATGGAAGGTTGGTAGTATTTGGTCGATATCTTGATGCAAGCTAACAATATAATGATACATCGTTATCATGAGAAGCCGTTACACAGAGACTTGAGACTCTGTACCAAAGAAATCTCTACGTTCACGCAATCAATTTGGCTCAAAGGCTGGATGGACTCTAAGCAGCAAAACATGATTTTCAGAAAATCGGGGGACTTCTTATATCAAAAAAGGAGACTACGATGGCGCCATGCAACAATATCTGAAAGCGATTGATAGCACTGAACCATCACAGGTTATCCGAAAAGTATGTCGCACTTGTGAATTCTTGTTAGGCTGTGGCTAATTTACTTAGTATCTTGATACTCAACGTATTCATAATCTGATTGAATATCTCGAAGAGCTTCATGAACACCACAAAGCAACAGCTGATCATACCACTTTACTTTGAATTGCTATGCGAAATTAAAAGATATTGATAAACTGGAGAAGTTCATTAAATCTCCAGGTGATCTGAAATTTGACCTCGAAACCGCCATTACAATGTGCAGACAAGGTGGTTACTATGAGCAAGCTGCTTACCTTGCGAAAAAGCATGGCGAACATGAGTTAGTAGTGGATATCTTGATAGAAGACTCGAAACGATATCCGGAAGCTCTACAATATATCTGGCGATTAGACCCTGATGCTGTAAGATTATTCACGTCATGACTACAAAATATACTGACTTCATTAATAGGCTTATCCAATTCTCATGAAATATGCTAGAGTTCTTTTGGGGCATTGCCCGAAAGACACAACTCAAGTCTTCATTGACTACTACACAGGAAGCTACAGGCCAATGAAAGACGTTGTTATCACTTCGGAAGCCCCTGTACAGCATGCTGGGTATGCGGCTGGTGCCGCGGGTGCCGCTGTCAATGCTGTTGCAAACATGAGGGATTTGATTCCACTCCCTTTCATGAACAATTCGACTATTTCTTCACCTGCCACTGTAGGCAATGTTTAATGCTACACCAGCCGACGGCCAAGTAACTGAAGATCTTGAACCACCGCCACCGGCTTACAGCCCGCCGCAACCAAGGACTGCGTTCTCTTCTTTCGTTGATCATCCTGAGGAATTCATAGTATTCTTGGAAGCATGTCTCAAAGAGCCGGGCCTGAAAGAACGCGATAAGATTGATCTGTATACGACCCTGTTCGAGATGTACCTACATAAATCGAATGAAAAGAATGGGCGTGATCGCGAAGAATGGGAAGGTAAAGCGAAAAAGCTTATCGAGGGTGAAGATATTCCCATTGATATTTCTAACGTACTTTTACTTTCCCATCTCTCGGACTTCAAGGATGGTACTACGCTTGTTCGTGAACAAGCTGGTCTACGTTTCGATATCTTCCGATCATATGCTGCTGCAAAGGACACTCGCGGTGCTATCAAAGCTTTACGAAAGTATGGCCCCGAAGAGCCTCAGTTATATCCAGCAGCCCTTGCATATTTTACATCAGACCAAGAATTCTCGAAGAAGCTGGGGACGAATTGGACGCAGTATTGGAAAAGATCGACGCCGATGGACTTATGGCACCTTTACAGGTGATTCAAACATTAAGTACCAATGCGGGTAGCAACCATGGGTATGGTAAAAACCTACCTCCAACAGACAATCGAACGTGAACGCAAAGAAATCGCCACCAATCGTCGTACTATCACTTCATATCGTACAGATACGGAAAGCAAACGTCAAGAAATCAACGAACTTTCGTCCAAGCCTCAAACTTTCAACGCCACACGCTGTTCTTTCTGCAGCACACAACTAGATCTTCCCACGGTCCATTTTCTTTGCAAACATAGTTTCCATCAACGATGTCTCAAAAATGATGACGAAGGAAATGTGGAAGGAGACTGCCCAACTTGTAAAAAGGAAAATGACACGATTAAGGCAATCAGGAGAGGCCAGGAAGAGACAGCTGAGAGGCATGATTTGTTCTTGGATATGCTTGGTAGGAGTGGAGATAAGTTTGGGATGGTGGCGGAGTTTTTTGGTAGGGGGGTTATGGAAGTTCCGGGGGTGGAGTGAAGGAGGGATGAGAGATGAATCGAAAAGGGGGTGGAGAAATTGTAGATAGGATGGAGTGGCATAAGATGACATAATAGGTTTGGTTGATATTAATACGAAAGAAATAATCTTTCTTCTATATCCATCAATATGCCATCTCTTATTTTGATTCTATCTACTTGTCGATGTGTCTGTAATTTTCACTTCAAACTTTTTGGGTGCCAAGGTAGTACCAGAATTCCATGCTTGGAACGCTGATCTCTAGAGCTTAGTGCAATAGAGGCAGACAATCAAGCTTGTTTCATCTTGTGTGGCTTGATAAATATCAAAGTTCGATTGTTGCATGACTGAATTTCAGCCACAAAGTCTAAAGCTTGGATTCTTGATGGGTGAAGGTCAGTGCTAAGCTAGGACTGTGTCTAAAGTATTGCTAGTTGGGATGCTGTGGCTAGTAAGGGGGAGTAATCTATTTTAAAACTCATAATGGCGTAATTGAACGCTTGATGCGTATGATTATGATGGAGTCGATGATCTTTTTTTTTGGCTGAGTTGGGATTGCTTGGTATGTGTGGTGATGAAAAGAGGAGAAAGTTTATGTTGGATTTGGTAGGTGTGGATACCAAAGATGATGATTAAATGAACGGGAGTGAGTGATTTTGATTGTTAGTTTGGAGGATAGTTGTTGTCCTAAATTCGTGTTGTTAGGGGAAAGATGATGGATGTATCACCTCGGTTGTAATTCGAGTTTCTTTGAGCTGGTCCTGCTCTGCTGGAAAGGGGAAAGGATCGACTGCTTCGTCCGGGGTTTTTTGAGAAGAAAGATATTCTTTCTCCCAGCTCCCACGCTTGTCCCTGGATGTAACTAAAACTTATCCACTAAGAGGAGAAAGTGACTAGCAAAAGTTTTGTTGCACATCTACATTCGTATTCTTACGGGGGTATCCTGACAAGTGGAGGATCAGTATATCGAAGTCTACAAGCCGGTACTGATAGCTCCCTTGCTAATATTGTTAAGTGCGACCAGTAAATTTATTATCATCCACTGATAGCTTTGAGATGGAATGGTATCGCTTTTGTTGCGTATCTGTGATTGAATTTGTGGGGGTATCCTGACATCTTTGGAAATAGTGAGATAGTTGGTGTGGTTAATGTTGGTTATTTGAAGGTAGAGTTCGCTCTAGAGAGTAGGAAAACCTTTTATTTCTGAAGTTTCTTGGCAAGGAGGAAGGAAATGTATTTTTACGTCTTCTCGCGCTCAGGCCGGTGAGAGATGAGTCCAGGGTGAAAGATAGATAGAAGTAAATTCAATAGATTGAATGAAACCAGTCGGTCAGGTTGGTGATTGATTTAAAGAAAATTCAAATACAGAGGAATGAATGAAGGGAGGGAATAGGAGGATGAGAAAAAGAGAGAGTAGGGTTTTGGAGGAAATATCAAATGGCTTGAACTCTATCTCCTGATAAAAAAGTACGACCAGGGTCTGGAACGAATGTTAGAAAAGATAATTCAAGCTCATTCTTTCTTCCCTATGTTATTAATTCCTTCTCATTTCCCCAGGCAAAGTTACCGTGGAAGAATTACATTTCTAATTAACAGTATATTGGTGATGTCAAAGCCTAAGATTATGTATCTTACTTCATTAAACTCACTTTACTAACCGAACACTCTACGACCAACAAACTAACTTCCTATCATAGAATTTCATTTCTAAAAAGTTTTGTTGCAGATCTGAATCATACCCCAAAAGGAATAGAGCATATAAATTGATTAGCGTTTGAGAAATCTCAATCCGATAGACTGAGAATAAGGACTTCTAGTTCATGAGATAGGGGTAAAGCTAGAAACATTGAAACTCTTGAATTTAAGTATTTAGTGAATATGTTGCATATATGCATACTACCCGATGAAGTTAGCTCTATGAAACGATGAAATGGGAGACTTCAACCGAGATGAGAGAGGCAGCTAGAGGCAGAAGTCACAATCGAGGCGGGGCCCCTAGGTTAATCTAGAGGGAAATTCTGTGGTTTGTTGCATATCTGCATACTACTCCATTAAGTTAGTTCCGTGAGACGATGAATTGGAATATTTTGACTGGTTGAGAGGGAACCTAGAGATAGAAGTCACAGTCGAGGCGGGAGCTCGGTTAGTTTGGTTTTAGGTTCAATCTAGAGAAAGATTCTGGGGTTTGTTTCATCTCTGGATCAGAAATAAAGGTGTTGGTATGATAAGTAAATCTAATGGTATGGTGTTGGTATGGTGTTGGTGTGGTTCTAGGGCATCTTTTGGGAATTGTTGCTTGTCTGGATAAGAGATAAGGGAATTGGTATGATGAGTGTCTTTATTAGTGTGATCTTCGTGTGGTTCTTGGGACATATTCAAGGAATCGTTGCTTGTCTGGATAAGACATAAGAGGCCTAGTGAGATCTAGGGGGAAGAGCAAAAGTTCTCAGTGTAGGTATCTAAATATCTGGAAAGCGACAAGGGGATTGGACTACCGTAAAACGCTTGGGGAAAAAATTATATCTAGTCTCGGTAAAACAATCTTACTCGGTAAGTGATCTTGGCCCTGGTGCGAAAAGTCATCTAGTCTCACAGATATACTTACTTAGCACATCACGCTAGCACTAGTGAGGTAATGACATCAGATAAAGTAATGTCAAAAGAAAAGCCACCTGTCACCTGTCACCTGTCTTCAATCATCCATCATCTGTAATTCTTCATGATGACCGTACCTCTCGTTCACCCTCCATTACTAATTTGTTACAACTGGATGATTTGAAGCCTACGACAATTGATAAAATTCACAATCTCGAATGACTGAAACACTAGATAAAAATAATACATGCCGAAGGTATACTTTGCTTCGAGTCTCGGTGTATACTTTTCCCTATTTTCAGAATGAGTTGATGGCCAAGTATGATCTTGAAACTTTGGCTTCCCTATTCTGACCACATTCCTTGTTTCTTCCCTAACTATCGAGCCTAAAAATTTCCAATCCAGTCATACTCTATATTCTGCCCAAGACGGACTAACTACTTAACTTTTACCCTAATATTTGATGATCACTTAGTACTTGCCGGCTATTAGAAAAATTCTGCCGACCACCCTAAGGTGGTCGGTAGCACCAACCCTGATCTATAGCAACCTTAATATAATAAAATTATTTTATAAATCAATAGTAAATCAACTATATAATATATAATATTAAATTTTAAAATAAATTGTAATTCTAATTAATTTTTAATCAAGTATTCATTTCTAATAATATGTAATTAATTAAGAATTATTATTATAATTCTTAGTAATTTGAAATATAATAAAATAATATTTTTTTATTGAATTTGAAAAATGATATAATATATTTTTATTAATTTATAGATTTTAAATAATTTAATATAGATTATCATTATGATTTTAATATGTATTATTTTTTAATTGAATATTAATATAGTTTATTATTATCTTTCTTTTTATCCTTAATCTAAATATTCTAAAAATCCTATTAATTATTACTAATTTTGATTTCTTTTTATAAGATACTTTAAATAAATCTACCTTTCTTTTTTTCTCAATTAGTCTTTTTAATTGTAATCTTTTTTTCTTTAATAATTTTTTATTAATTTATTATTTCCAATTATATTTTTTCACTAGCTTCTTTTATTTCTTTTTAAAACCTTTGTATTGTTTTTCAACCTCTTTTTTTATTCTTTTTATTTCCTTTTCTACAACTTTTTATATATTTATAATAACTTTATTCATTATTCTTTATATCTTTTGAATCTTTTATATATTCCTTCCTATCTTTTGCTTTCCTTCTATCTTAGTCATTCCCGTGCTACGGCATTAAAAGCGTTTAGTGCTATTAATAAGATAATTTCTTTCTTTTTTAAATTCTATTTCTATTTTCCTTCTTCGATTCCTTTATCGATTTTAAGCGTTCTAAGAATTTAACCCTTTCTATGATGTATAGGTTTTAGATCTCTTCTCATATTTTTTATATAAAAATAATAAACTTACTACCCAGTATCTTATACACCGCTTTCTTTCAATTATACTTATCAGTTTGACTCTATATACTTAGTTATTAACTTCCCTTTCGAAAATTTATATAAAAGAGTATGTACAAAAAAAAATTAATAACTGATTTTATATTTATTACTAAAATTTATTATATGTAATAATACGTTTTGTATATATAAGATTATAAAAAAAACATCATTTTCAATCAAATTATACCATTGTCAGGGAGCGACCACCTGACAGGGTTTATATAATAGATCCACTGTTTCGAATGCATTCGGAATACTCTGTTAGAGTAGATAATAGCAATGAATCAACTAGGTGTAATGTAGCACAAAGACTTTTCATTAATCCTTCTAAACTATGAAAATTCTACAATTTATAATTGTGCGCGGGTTGGCGTCGGCCCGAAGTAGCCCCGCAGGGGCTACTCACGTGCCCTCGCCAGCCCTTACACGGATTGACCGTGACAGAGCCCCCCATATTGCACGTCGCGTCCCGAGACGTGTATGTTTACCTCCCGAACTCGGCTCGTGTAACACAAGAAAATGGGACGCCGAGTGATCGCGTCCGTGCCGCATGCCAAAAGGAAGTAAGAACGCCATAAAGCCACAAACAATCAATAAACAACATTCCAACGCGTTCACCGCTCTCACTGGCAGATCACCAGGGGCTCTATAAGTTCCCTCCAATTTCCTGAGTTCGTTTCCCCTTCTAGCAGATCATTCTTTACTACCTTTTCACTAGTCCTTGTCTTATCATGGCTGCCCCTCAACCCATCGGCCCCCAGGCGATTGCGGCTCGGTCTGCAGTAGGTCCTGCTGGTTTGATTATCCCTACATGTCTTCGTTGCTCCAAGCGTATTGCGTCCTCTGCCCCGAAGATTTCTGTCACTACGACAAGGGTCCTCACGCTAAGTGTAGCTACTGTCGTGCCCAGAAAAAGGTCTGCCAGTCGGTGCCTCCCCGATACATTCCCGACGTCAACTTGCTGTATCAAAC